GAGAGTCCAAAATATTACTAGGGGTGGGCAATGACAAAGGAAACTTTGTAAAGGAGAAGAGGGACGTAGAAGTGGATGAAAGAGGAATAGGAGGGTAGGTATTAATGGGAAAGAAGGAGGGAGAGTCTGAGTGAGAGAGAGGAGATAAGGAATGGTGTAGACAGGAGGGGTGATGGAGGAAAAAAACGGGAGTGAGAGGGGGAGCGAAGAAATGAGGGGTAAGAGGGAGATGGGGAAATGGAGGAAGAGGGTGTTTATAAAGCTTGAAAAATACCTACTGGAATCCATTGTGGTTTATCAAGGCTTGTTTGATTCGTTAATTCTGCATTCGTGGAAAGTTAAATGTTGCTCACATGAACACATTTTGAACGAATATAAATATAAATAAGACTTAATAGTGAAGAAATACTTGCCCTCTAAACGACGGACATGGGGTGGCGAGGAGGGCAAAATTCCAACCATCTGACCCTTAGACTTAATAACATGCTAAGTGCCCTCCCTTCTATGGACGTAATATTACGCGACCCGCCGTGGATGGCTGTGTCTCTCAGGATTCTGGTGTAAGAGGAATGTGAGAGAAAATGAAAATAATGTTGAAAATAGAAAATGTATGCGGAAATGACGATAAATATATGCTTAATATGATGAGAGGATGTTTGGCATCTTAAATGTATCATTAGGAGTCAAAGGGGCTAAGAACTAAGTATAAATTACACATGCACAATAAAAATACATCATTCAACGTACAGAAATAACAAAAAATAAAAGTTATACATGAGAGGAAAAAAGGGCATAATTGTTTTCTTTTTCTTTTATCCAAATTGTGTTTCAATTCTGTGAGTTTGATTCCTGATTTGACTGTCTACTTGTCTATTTCTCTCACTTCCCATCCATCTATCTATCTACATGCCTCTCTCTCTCTCTCTCTCTCTCTCTCTCTCTCTCTCTCTCTCTCTCTCTCTCTCTCTCTCTCTCTCTCTCTCTCTCTCTCTCTCTCTCTCTCTCTCTCTCTCTCTCTCTCTCTCTCTCTCTCTCTCTCTCTCTACCTCTCTCTGTTTTCTGTTCTTCCATCTTTTCTGCATTCCTGATTTTCTCTCTCTCTCTCTTTCTTTCTCTCTCTCTCCCTCCCTCTCGCACTCTCTCTCTCTTTCCCTCCCTTTCGCACTCTCTCTTTCTCTCCCTCCCTCTCGCAATCTCTTTCTTTCTTTTCTCCCCCACACACTTTTTCCCTCCACCCTTCCTTCCTAACCCTTCTCCCTTCCTTCATCCATTTTTTCCCTCGCTCTCTTCCTCCCACCATCCATCTTTCTCCCTCTCACTCTCTCTCTCTTTAAAGACAGCACAAACGCAACAGGTTCCGGGGAGCATTTGTGGGTCGACTTTCCCGGGCATGACGCCAAGACTGTTCAAGGAGGCAATGCACTGTGTCTAAGAGTGAATGAACCTATACGCCCGTGAGGAAGAGGTGCCGGGGAGGGGCCGGGAGCTTGATCGTTGCAGCTGAAGGTCTTTTCAGCGTCCGGATACTTAAATGTGTGCCGGAATTTCCGCTTTTTCTTTTCTTTTCTTTTTTCTTGGCATTTGTTTTTGTTATTTGATGTTAGATATGCTTTGTTTCAGGCGATTTGAATTACTTAGTGTATAAGATTTTGAGGTGATTTTATTGTTTTTCTTTTTCTTTGTAATGATGAGAGAAAAAATCGGAGAATATATAGAGCTGGTATTTCTTATCTTGACAATGATGCCTGAAAATGAGATTCAGATATTGATATAATCATCAACTTAGGAATCTAAGCATAAGGCAAATAAAAAAAATGGATTTATATATACTACTAATCATTAACTGATATTGTTACTTGATATTGTGATATTGATTATAGGTAAAGTAATGGTATGTAGGGACTGTATTATATCAAGAAATATGAAAATATGAGGATAAAAGAAAATATATAAAAAGAAAAATAAACTTACCAAGAGTGAGAGTGAATACAAGTAATTTTTTGTACCAGGAACATGATGATAATCTCAACCATATTAGGTCGACAATGCCGTTGACTGAAGCTAATTCGCTGGACAAACAGTAAGCGAATCAACTCTCTCAGAAGCAGTACTGTCTTTATTCTTTGTCTAGATAAGCAAGGCACATCATGTCCCAGAATTCCGTTTGATCTACATATCCAAACAATATTCGTTTAAAAAAAGGGAAAGAAAGACAAGGGAGAGCGTTCTGAGCTATTCCGAAATGGCCCGATAACCTCCTGAAATTCCCCTAGGTTTGCTGAGCAAGAAATTCCCCGTCCCGAGCGCCTCTCCGGGATATTCCTTCCTTCGCCAGAGATCTCCCCCAAATAGAATCGTACATTTCCCTAAATTTGCCTTCGCTATGGCGGATTTGAAGCCCAAGAGGTCCACGGGAACATCAAAGACCTTTCAGAATCGGCGCTGAGCGGAGCGGAACTACTGCCGAATTACCTGCAGTTGGAACGGGAAATTCCCTGGCCGCGGGGAAAACAGGGACGGGTTTGGGCGGTTCCGGCGACATGGCGGTTCGTTTACGATGCTTTCTTAAGATCTTTTTGAAGAGGCCGAGCGAAATGCCAC